TAATTTGCATGCAACAAGCTTGTAACGATTCTCAAAAGTTAACACCATTTTGCTAATAATTTAACAGAGAGATCTTTAATTGTCCCTTGTTGAAGGTTCATTGGAATATCTAGAATTTCCTTTGTTAAAGCTCAATTATCTTCAATACTCCAGTTACTTATTTCCTAAAGTATTTTTGTGCCAAATTTCGTGAAATTCTAATGAGTGGTTTTCGAGAAATAGACGTATTCCCGAGAGTGCAATTTTTCATTCAATCGCAATTTTTCGACTTACTACGCATGCGCAGCATTTAACTGGGTTCTTTCGGTAACAAAGAAAAAGCTGAGAATTGCAGGGTTCTTTGCATCGTTACCTTTTCTAACATATCGTTGTAATAAAAGACTAAAGCCATCAATACACTGCATCCAATTATAGCACAGATAGTGCGGGTGTTGAGTAAATAAAGTGATCGCTCTGTTGACGGCATGTTTGTTTTTGCAATCCTTGTGCGCGCGCTGAATTGCATCAGCAAAAGGGCACGTGAAAACTGTGTTCGGCCACCTCTAAAGGACGTTCGCGCTAATTGTTTCTGTGCATCCTTACTGCGCACGCAAATTCACATGCCACGTCATGCATGAGAGCGCGCGCTAGGTATACGTAATAAAATGAAGAATGATAGGGCAGATGGCCATTGCTATAGCTTTGCTTGGATTAACGATCTTGGACGTTCGACGACCCCTATTTTTCTTTTGATGGATCATTTTCTTTACCGATTTTCTACGTTTAGCGAAAAAATGAAGAAAATCTATCGACTAAAAGTTTAAATTTTTTGCAAAATGCAACATCGAACTATGTTCTTTTTTGCCCATCGTTTATCTGTGCGACGGTTTCAAATGCCTTTTGAAGGGTTAAGTTTTGTGAAAACGTTGGTAACATTTGGAATTATTTACGCAACAAACCCACTTCTACAAAATATGACTAAGATCGTTTGCCTCCGGTAACTCACCTTCGATGTTTTTACCTATAAACCCCTGTAGGCAATGCTGAATTACGTGGGCCAATTTTTCAAAATCAGGGTGGTTTACCACATACTTTATCTCTGAAACAAAGTCGGTGACTTCCAATTTTTTTTTTTTTTTTTTTGCATTTCTGACACAAGTTACCCATTATCTGACTGCAGTAAACATTTCTAAAAAATCTATCAACTGGAAATTTTCGCGCGACCATTCTAAAGCCACACTGAGTTGATTGCACTAGACATGGACCGAAAAGCATTCAGATGTTAAACAAAATTCTCGAACGCCCAGGAGAACAATGCGGTGAAAAACCCTTTTAAATGGAGTGACTAATAAAGTAACTATTACTATGACTATGAAATCTATTCTGAGTGACAGTGTGCAGCGCTATTGCAATAGGAGATTAGCAAAGGAGTTTCAGTTTATGTTCGCCATGTGTTAACTCTGGTTATATTTGTGTAGCGCTACATTTGAGTGCTCTCGAATTAATTTGGTAGATAAATCTGAGAGGGACGAAACAAGCGGATGCAAGACTAGAAGCTTAGAAATACATAAAAAGCTCTTCTCGTCTCCAATCACTGATGCCGGTCCAAACCAGATTCACAGTTTGCAGTAATGTCTGCCAGCTTTGGTCCTTGTCCCGGCTGTATACACGATGATTTCATTCGGTCAAAACCTTGTTTTGTCCAGTAATTAGCCCGTTTACTTTCTTTCCATTAACGAGCCTCTGCACAGGAAATAGAATAGTTTTTTTTTTAGTTTGAATGTACATTGAATTTCCAATGGTAATGGCAAACAGTTGTGATATCGACAACCGTCACCCCTACCAGCCACCCCAGCGTAACTATTTGTACTGGGAGAATTGCACCAGTACCCCCATCGTCGGTGATTATCAGAATTTGTCTTTAATTCACTTTCGCCCATTAGTAAAATTTGCCGCCGTTATGGTAAACGGAAATTTCGAAAAATCCCTTTGATATTAAGAAGCTGTTGCCGCTTTCTTCCTAAATTGGCCGTGTAGGGTCAATTTTTAAACGCACCACGAAGCCAATTTACACAGTATTTCTTAATTCGGGGTCCTGGATTGTGAAAAACCCATAGAATGAACGCTCTGCTTGATTGCTTGTGGAGAAATAATAGCTTACAAGCATTTTTAACCAAATATTCAACAAGCCTATAAATTAGCACAATTCAGATTTTAACACAACCTAAATTCTGCAGAGCATTTTCAGTAACAGGTGTTTACCAGAAAGAACCCAGTTTGTCGAGAAAAACTATGGAACTATAATTACGTGACCCGTTAACATCCTTTATCCATCGATTCCCCGGGCAGGTGGCCTCTCTATTATAGTTGAGTGGAATGAATCTGTGAGACCTTCTTTGTCGTTCCGGTTTCTTGGTCAACTGTTCACACTTGGGATGAAGTATTCAACAAGTGTTGCTCATTTCACTCTATGCGCTCTGTTTATGGTGTCATTTTCTAAAGGTAGTAAACAGCACAGGCAATTGAGGAATTTAACAGGTAGGAGGTGTATCTGCCGTCATATAGGCGTGATTTTAACACGTAACTTTACGTTTGTGAGTGGATGTCAAAACAACAGAAACCCATGTTATTATTAGGGACCGTCTGGTTCTCTTCTCCCGTCTGGTTCTGTTCTCATGAATAGTTGCTTCTTTTAAACTTTATCAACTCTGTCGGTGCCTTGCTTCCTGACTGCATAGTTGCCCGGCAAAGCTACCAACTTGAAATCAAAACTAACCCAAAGTCACGTTAAAAATCTAAAAAATGTAAAATCAATATGTAGTGGTTATACACATGGTTCAAAGCTAGTTTCTCACTTTTCCATGTAAAAAGCTAGCCTTTGTGTAACGACACGAAGGTTGTTTTCCCTATTTTTATTCGAAAAGTGTCCCGTGGCGCCAGTGTTGTAATGCAAACAAACAATGACAGTGAAAGCAACGAGCTTGTCAAGACAGATAAGTAGTCTCGTTTTAGTAAGAAATTCACATTTCAATCTTCGATGTAAGGTAAATTCGCACTCCTGTGGTGTTTCGCCCAGATTGACAATGTTTTAACTCTTTTCTTGAATTTTGTGAGGCCATTTCCCGAAAAATCTTTTTTTCCGCCGTGCACCAGTGTACGTCTTCAAGTTTTCCAATGCCATGGGATGGCCTGGCTCTTTCATGATTTTTTATGTACAATCGTTTTAGTAATATACTGGGAGACATTGATAACCAAGATTCAGCATTTTGAGCTCTTCATGTATTCACCGACACTGACGTTTAAAAATTAGCTGACCTCAGCATAGACAGGATAAAATACAAAGATGATCGAATCAAATGAGCTTAAATTAACTATAGCATTGCCTTCAAACTGACAAAGAAGACGTTGAGAAGGAACTCGAAAAAACGTTTCATATAATTCCAAATAAACAGAGAAAGAGCGAGACAAATAAAAACTAAATAGCGGAGTACGCCTCCCCACGTTTCGAGTCGCCATTTTGTGTAATCAAGCGAATGAAATTTGGGAGAGACATCTGTAGCGAAACGTAGTTATTACTCTTGCCCAAGCATTCAATATGACAGCTGCGGTAATTTTGAAATAGAGGGCTCTTTAAAGACGATTGTTTATTGGTAACGACATCAGACAAATTTGAAAACTCAAGAGCACGCGCGCTCAAGAGAGCGTATACATAGGGGTGCCCCACTGGTTTTCAGTGTAAGTACGGTTTCCTTTATTCCTCCTTTTTCTTCCTATTTCACCTCCTTTTTCTTCTAAGCTTTCACAAGAAAACGCCAAGAAGGCATGTTATGTTATTACTAAATATCCTTTCCTTTTGAATACAAGATGGTAGACATGGATTGATTAGGAAACGACGAACATTTGGCAGTACACAATCACCTTGCAACAGTAAGTGACATGGATATTTTTTCCAACATTGTCCAGATTATATGGCAATTGAAGAAATAAGAAACACGTAGTAACATAGCAGGATGCCAGGCGAATCGAGTGAACGACCCAGGCTGCGGAAAAACTTCACGCATAACTCGGATTCACCGCAGCGTAAAGACGTCTGTGTTTTCCCAACTGATCACGAAACTGTCAGTTTTCCCTCTGTTAAAATGCGCAGACAAGAACATCCAAGGCGGGTTACATTAACCATTTTTTCTTGCAACTTGTTTCACAATTTTATTAGGACACTTATAAATTGCTTATTTTAACACCTGCTGGACGTTTACGGCAACCATGGAACTAACGGACCCAGCGGACCGTCCAGCGGCTGTCACGTGTTTTATGCAACAACTAAGCTGCACGCACCTTTATATTCACAGTTTTAGTATTAATTTAATAGACTATTCCATATATGGTAAACTTTCGCAGCTGATGTCGTTCCTTGACGTAGAATAGGCTTTAAAGAAGAATGCATATTAGCCTTGCCAGTCTAACTTCTGACGTACAGACGTTTTACGTTTTTCTGTTCAAATAGAGAAAATAAGTAAAGGAAGTGATTTGTGAAAAGAAAGGAGGGGTCAACGACTATTTAAGCGAGTAGATTGCCGGCGGAGTTAGCGCACCCAGTGCCAAGGCCTTAACTTGCTTATATTTTTCCTCTGTGCACGCGCCTGATGAGTGTCGTAGCGTGACGTAGCGACCTGAATAACTTGCACAGTAGGGATGCGCAGTTACAATGGGCGCTAACTTCCTCAAAACACCTCTCGGATTTTTGTTTTAAGCGGATCACAACTATTTCCTTATTTATTAAATTTTTATTACTCTTTTTTTTTTTCATTTCAGTGTCTCACGGCGTTTACTTGGAAAGATGGGACAGAATAGATTACAAACGCGTCAAGTTTCTGTTGTCGGATCCGAGATATCCAAATCTACCGAGCCTGTCATTGTGTGTTCCAAATTTTGAACAGCCGCAAAATTGGGCACAATTCTTTGGCTCGCGTTTGAGGACGTATTTTGTTCCATTTGAAACAGGAAACCACTTTTTCTTCCTTTGTAAGACGTTACCGTTATAGCTTTGTCAATTAGTGAAAGTAAAGAACTTGCCTCAGTTGTTCAAAGGGTGCATAGCGCTTTCCACTGGATAAGATACGATCCATTGGGTAGCATGGTTTGTCTTGTCTTATATCCACTGGTCAGAGATTTATCTATCCTTTGAACAGCTTTAGTCTAGTAAGAGCGAGCGATCTTGAGGTGGGGTGAAAAATTATTTACTCTCCAGATATTGGTAGGAGAAAATTATCGTTCCCGCGAGGTCTTAACACACTTATACTCAGGCCCAGAAAGTAGAAAAAAAGTAGGGCAATGGGTTGAGGAGAGTGGAGAGATCAATGGGAGTAAAGTAAAAGGGGTGAGGTGGGGTTAGAGAGGAGAAGAATGTGGCTGCAGCAAGTGAACTTCATTTATCATTCGCTGCATTTTTCTTCCCTTTCACTGGCCGAGAGCCCATCACATGACCCACAAATACCTACAAATAAAGGTCTGCTCATGAGTCAAGCACCGTCTAACTGTAATTTACCGCAATTGCTCTTCTGCTCTTGCGTAATTGTAACCAGGCTCTTGTGTAAAAAATGGCAGGTCGCTTCCCTGAGCTTTCAGAGAGTGATCTAGATATGAAAACAAACTTGGTGATCGAATGATGAAACAATTATTAAACTCGACTATCGCAAAATATATCTTGATATGTCAGTGTCTCTGAAAAATCAGGATATTTTGCTCAACCTTGTTCAATAACTGTTAAATATTTGTTATTAGTTAATTAGTATCTACTAAGTCAGTGGATAGTGATTTTACGCATAGGGATGGTGTGTGCCGCCTCTCTGTTCCCGAGGGTCGAAGGCAAAATGTTTTCTTGTTTTCCTACAGAAGAAGACATTTTAGTGGTTTATAAAGCAGTTATCCCTATTAAACCAAAGGAAACAACAAAATTCGGCTTGATAGTATTTGCAAGAGCAGTTTTATTTTTTATAGCCCTGAAGCTATCGGCGAAACCGACAAAGAACGATTTGTTACTGGTACTAGAAGAGAGAGGTTATAGACCTACACGGCCCCTAATTGTTGACATCTGTAACTTTGTTTTCTACATGTTTCAACATTCATTTTAGCGTCCGATGCCGGAAGTGAACTATTTATAAGCACCAATGAAAAACCGGAGATGAAGACCTTAATCAGTAAAATAGACGGCGGGTTTACCTCTTACCCGTATGAGTATGATAGGTAAGAATAGAATGGTTGATGGCTCAATGAATCGAATGTGTACTTACTACAAGTGTTCTTGATCAGTTAGGTTTAAAAAGCAAAAAATCGTTGAACTCTCATTCTATGAAATGCTTTTGCGATTCATCCCGAGCGAAAAACGTTAGAATTGGCGGCAAACCGTTTTTTTGTCTCATGTTCACGGACTGAAATTTTTATTGTGATTTCTACTTTATAAATGCATCCTTCGACTCGCTTTTCTTTTTCTTTTCTTTTCCTTATTTGACCAAATCCCTTTTAGTGTTTGATAGCTTGAACTGGTTCTTGTTTTTCACTTGACGTGATTAGCTAACTTCTTGTTCGATAAATAAGAGTGTGCCAGTGATTAATAGTACATTTATTCTCAGCTTTTATATTATTATATTTGCAACACTGTATGTATTGATGGTCCCTAGATACACCACACAAAAATCTCTGCCCATTTACCTAAAGAAAGGCAAGTATTACTACATGGAGGCTATATTCAAGGACGATCATCAAAATGATCACCTGGAAGCTGCGGTACAGACACCAGATGGGAAATTTTACAAAGTGATACCCTCCCAATTCCTATGGACAACATTACCGACACCTCCCGGTAGATACACTTTGATCTTATTGTATTTTTAACGACTGAGAAGATGTAGCGCCTGCGTCAGTTATATCCGAGTTGAACATTCCTGCTCAATTGTGAGGTCCCACTTTTTAAAAATTTTTTGAAATGAACTGAAACTTTTTAAACGAACTGAAATTGTAAAACAACTTATTTTACTCTCCTACGCGTTTCATCTGGCAATAGCAGACTTCAACAGGGAGTTTTTATGAGTGAGGCTTACAAGCTTGCTTGCTTGCTGCAAAAATGCACTCTCAACAGAAACTGGAGAAATATTAAGCAACCTGACAAATGCCTTTGAAGGATTAAAATCCCAGATATTTTTGTCGCTTCGTGCTAAGAAACTCAAGCAGTTACACGTACTCAGTCAGTTACTTATTAGAAGGAATTCTAAAGAAATATTTTTAAAATTGTGCTCAATTTTAAGGCTAATTTTAAGACACTTTTTACTTCCGTTCAGAATGCAACCCAGAATACTCTAGATGGGGACTTAATGACTTCAGAATAATGTGACAAGGACAAAACCTGTCCAACTAAAATCTTCAGGAGCGTGTAAGCTTCTATAATGTCACTGTGGTATCTTTTATTCCATTTATTCTCAGAGAAAAATGCAACATACCAAGCCATTTTGTTAAGAATTGCGGCACGAGCCGGTGCAAGAGCCGGGTTGTCGTTTGGAGCAAAGTGGGCTCATGAAAGTGGAGCCAAAGCAGGAGCAAAGGCTGGTGCCTTGGCAGGAAGGGAGACTGGAGCATCGGCAGGAGCTAATGCTGCCGTAAAAGCTGCGATAAAGATGACAAAAAAAACCCTGGAAGACGCATTCAACAATATTCATGGTGACACGGTACACAAATTTGATATAAATATCAAGAATGGAAGCGTGGTCTCGGTAACAGGTCTTGGAATGCAAGGGTATGGCGGAGGTGCGTCTACTACAGCCTCTGGAGCTTCTGTTGCCGCCGCTGGTGCTGTTGGAACGGCAGGGACTGCAGGGATTGCAGGGTCTGCCGGTACTGCCGGGACTGTCGGAACTGCTGGGGCTTCCGGGACTGCTGGGACTTCTGGGGCATTAGGAGCTGGGGGCAGTGGCGGAGCTGGAGGTGGAGGTGGAGGCGGTGCCGGAGGTGGCATAGCGGGAGGTACTGGAGCAGGTGGAGGCACAACGATCGGAGCTGGTACAAGTGGGGGTGCAGGAGGAGGTGCAGTAACAAGCGCAGGTGTTGGTGCTGGAGGAGCAGCTGGTGGTTCTTCTATTTCTGCCGCTGGAGGTGCAGGAGGGTCCCTGGTTACGTCAGCTACAGGATCATCAAGCAGTGGTGGCGTTGGTGGAGGCGCTGGAATTGGTGGCGCTGGTGAAGGAGGGATGGTTGGATTTGAATCTCCTTTAAGAAATATGACTATTATTCCAAAACCAGGAGAAGACCCACAGACCCTTGCGAGGGCGCTGGTTTGGAAAGTGGGAGGTGCACAAGCAAGTAAGCTGTTTTGTTATATGGTTAACTCTGTGAGCGCGCAGGATGATCCAAATCCTGCGCTATGATTGGTTACCCGAGCTGACAAGATGGTGCTATCTTGTTCACTCGGGATTACGCGCTGGACCTAGACTTAGTCTCGGTCCATAAACACACATGAAAAAGAACTTCAATAACGCATATGTATTTAAATACTTTTAACGTCAAACCAGTGATCGAAAGTGTCCCATTTTTTACCTTGTCTGTTTTACTTCAATCCGGCTAGGTTCTATTTTCTCGACAATTTCAACCCCCATTTGCCTGAGTCCCGACACATTGCGTTAACAAAGCAGTAACATTGATTCTTTTTCCTTAGTTGTAGGAAATGCAATGTACACAATTCATTCATATCACCTACCATACTCACAGGAGGACTTTACGCTTAACTGGTGCTGGCGGTCAGTAAATGGTCGATTATTCTTGAGACAGTTCTGTCATGTGTTTATTGCTCGAGTGCCGGCACTGTATGAGAAAGCCCATCAAACATACAGTGTCTCTTTTGAGTCTGCGTGCCTTCCCGGTCATTTCATAAGGCAAAAGAATTACCACTTTCGTCTGCAGAAGAGAGACGGGACAGAGTTGTTTGGTAAGATTCCAGATTTGCTGATTGTAGGCACTGCAGCTTCTTAACTGTCTGATTGTTGGCGCAACAAAAACATACCATTGCCCTTCGGGACAGACGGACACCAGGCATCAGAAACATTCAAAGGGTGTTACATGTAGTCCTTTTCTGGTTTATCGATTACGCATTAGGCTGTCTTGTCTTTATAATGGCAACGTAAGAAATATTGCGTCCATTGAGCGTTCCTCGACATTTCTTATTCTTTATATAGTCGGGCGTCTTCTTTGTGACATACGTAAAGTCCCTGATTTTTATTATCCAATCCTAAAATGGTAGCAATCCTCGAGAATCCCCTAACACTTGCCATTATGGCAATATCCTTATCTTTTCAACTTCTTGTACTTGTTCCTTTGAACTGTATAAGTCAAAAGCAGGTTAACTGCCTAAAGTGTCCACACTTTTCTGAGCAACGTAAGAAGGCGACATGACCGCAAAAAGTGTGAGATACAACGCAGGTAAATATATCCAGATTTGACCAAATTTAAAGTCGGACGGAAGCACCTTTACAGAGCATGGAATTGATGAGCAAAGTCACATTCAGTGTTCCTACTTAGCAGCAAAACTGTTAGGTTTGGCGAACATGGAATCATCGCACACCAACAAGTTAAGGTCCCTGTCTTCTCCATCCGGATAAAACGGCAGAGGTGTGCTGTTGCAGAATAGTTATAAAGCGAATTTTTGTTTTTGTGTTCAGCTAGGCCTTTCTACAAATATCCGATTTTTCTTAGGATATTTGATTTAGAAGTTTCCGAGATATTCATTTCGTCTTTTTGTATGTTACTAACTCGATATATAAATGATATATGACGTACGGATTAAAAACACAGTTCAGTGGTATCAGTGGTATTGCCCTTGTTTACAGACAATCCATTTTCCAATTTGAGTGGCTCATAGCCACTTTGCTTCTTTCTAACACCGAACAGAAATTTTATTGCGATTTTTTGCAGCTCGGCGACTGGAATATCTTCAGTTCCTCTCCTTTCTTCTTCACCTGCAAGGAACTCGTTGAACAAGTTTAAGTCGTATGAAGTTTGCCTTTTAATTTTTCCTCAGAGAAGGATTTTACGTCGGCTTCAGAGGACTTCACCTTCTCATGTTTTGCTCGCCATTTTTGACTGACCGTTTGCATAAACAACCGTGAAAAAGAGGAAAATGGCTTCATCAATATCTTAACTAGTATTCACCAGAAGGGATATGAGGATATGGAAAATGGTTCCGTATGAATTTTACCAGTGGTGTAATTTCCAGTAAAACACTCGCTTCTATGTTATAGTAAAAAAAATTCATATATCACGACATACATTTATGTACCTTGATAATTGTTCGAAATTCTAATTTAATGGGACAGCTTTATATCTCATATGTACTATCCTCTTTTTTTTTCAGATAAAGACAGCTCGTTTACAGTTTACTCGGTTATGTCTTATACACGGAATCTTATCTTTAATTCAATGCACAAAGACTGGTGTGTCTGCGAAGCTGAAAAGCCAGCCTGGAGTGGGCCTGAAGTTCTTCTCGACTTTTATAAGGGTGATCCAGATGTTCTTACACGTTGTTCCTTCGTGGTTCAACCAATCCAACAAAACGCTAACAAGCTACAAAACTGTTTAAACGTCCTTGGACCAGTGGAGCATCCTGCAATCGAGGGACAACCGCTTCCTCATCCCCCTCATTTAGTTCCTCAAACTCCTCCTTCACCCCCAGTTCTGCCTGTATGCATACCGGTATGCCCGGAGGGAGCTAAGGGAGGAACTTCAGTGGGACAACCAAGCGCGGGCGCCACTGCTCCTACAACCTCTTCATCACCTGGGGTGCCAAGCGCCCCGGAGAGTAAAGGTTGGTCTTTCTCTCAAGTTATTGTACAAAAAAGGAAAACGGGGACCAGTTTAAATTTGTATGTAGTTTGATTTTATTTCTCTTTCCGCGGGAAAATTATCCATTTCAAAGACCTTAGGTGTCTACTTTTTCAGAAACAAAATAAATTATTTAATGCCAGAACAATGTATCCGAAATAGCTATCAAACCCGTTATTTTCTTTCCTTAAATAATCTGTAGATTCCATGTTTAATGTATTTCTCTCTCTTGTCTTGCAAACAGACATGAAAAGACAGGAAGCTAACTCGAAAACCTAATGATTCAATTTGCTTTTAGGCTCATTGATAAAAACGGTGCACAATAAGTAATACAACATACAATGTCTTTTTTTTTGTATTAAGTGTTATCATTATGAAAACTAAAGATATTGTTATCCCGTCCAGCCGTGTTAAACTGACTGTTGTCTGAAGGGATGCGAGTCCAAATGCAGGAACATTATGACAATGCTTTAAGTCAACATAAAGTCGTCGGGAAACTATTCTCCGTGTGCAGTTTTACTAGGAGGAAGTTCTCGTTTGTTTTAGTTTTAAGCTGCAAATTAAGAAACAAAGGTTACAGGGGAAAATTGAATTGAACAATTTTCTTGCTAGTAGAACTGTAGTCACTTTCTTGGTGTTATTTACTTAGAGATGTGCGTTGCATTGAATTTCATCAACAACCTTGGATCTGCCTTTCATCTCTATTCATCTCTAAAACGCGAGAGATATCTTGTCACTGGAGCTGGCTTTAAACTCAAACTCATCGTAGACCGACCCGAGCTACATGGTCAGGTTACGTTTCGTGCAGAGGATCCTGCAGGAAACAAACTACTTCTGAATGGAAAAAAGAGTATTTTAGAGGACGTGGTGCCTGGCTGCCCTGACTTTTGGGATGTGTCTGTAACTTCAAACCAAGGTAATTTGAAAAATATGAAATGAACTGTGCATTTGAATTAGAGTGAGCGAGAGTTAGAAACTCGATTTTATGAACCTCTTTGCTTGAATGAATCAATGAATCAATGAATCAATAAATCAATGAATCAATGAATGAATGATTGAATGACTAAAAATATCTTATTTCTGCGCAACTTGAGGACTTTGACATAATACCACCACGCCACCACACATCGTTGTTGTAGATGTTTACTGATCTGTAGGTAGATTGTGTACATTGCTACAAGCCAAACAAACTTCATTTACAGTGGAAAGCTCTTTTAAGAAAATTTTTTTTATGTTTTAAAAATGATTGATTATGACCTCCCAGCTAGTGATTTAGTATAGGATATGCATGAGGGCTTCCCGCCACTATCAGGAAAACAGTTTACTCTAGAACATAAAGGTAACACTGACTTGTGTGTATGGTCTGGCTAAGGTAACAAAATTAACAGCGATACTGCCGAACCTCGATCATCCGGACTCGTTGGAACTAGACGAAATAGTCCGGATAATCGAGGGTCCGGATAATGGAAAATATGAATTTAATGAAGAACAAAACTGTTTGGATAAAGCAACATTAAATCGTGAAACAACACTTTCACAAATCATTTGGAAAACAATATGGTCTTGAACCACTCAACTCTGAGCCAATCAGAACTCAACCAAGTGTTTTTCATTAGTTACGACGCGCGATAGCGCTGCTTTTGCTCTTTAAAAGCAAAGCAAACTTGCCTTTGACTGCACTTTTTAATGCTATAGTTTATAAAGAATATTGCTACGGATCTTGATCATGACTAATAAATATTCATGACAAAATTGGGACTAGAGAAAAAGTCGGGATAATCGAGAAATCCAGATAATCGAAGTACGGATAATCGAGGTTCGACTGTGTTATGCTTCTCCCGCCCATTGATATTGGACAGGAAATGAAAATCATCGGATAAACTGACCAAAGCTATTTGAGTTGTTTTGTTGCCGATTAGGTACGATTAGTCCTTACGTTATGATATTTTCTGTTTCAGCAGGCCTTGCTCCATCTTCCCAGGCACCGCCCACTAGCATAGGACCTCCTTCCACTACCCAGCCACCGTCTGGTCCTCCCCCTCAGTATGCACCACCTGCAGCGCCCGGACCTCCTGCTCCACCGTCAACTCCGCCAGCGGCACCTGCTCTCCCACCGTCCTCTACTTCTGGTGTCTCATCTCCTGGCTTTTCTCCTCCGGCATCACCTCCGGCATCTCCTGCACCGCCTGCTCCTCCCGCTCCTCCTGCTCCACCCGCAACTCCTGCACCTCCTGCTTCTGCTGCTCCACCGGCGCCTCCTCCACCTCCTGCTGCTCCTCCACCTCCTGCTGCTCCTGCTGCTCCTCCTGCTTCTGCTGCTCCACCAGCAAAACCACCATCATTCTCTCCAGCTCCCCCTTCTACTGTTCCAGGATCGCTATCTCCCCAACGAGGTACGAACATTAACTTTAACTGTTTAAGAAAATGCCTTCCATTCCAGTGCCTTTATGTGGACACATAGTATGTAGGTTCTTCTTCTTAAGTCGTAGGCCCAGTCACTCGCTGAGATGTTATCAAATGATATTTAATAGGAATTCGTGGGAAATTGAATCATGTCGTTTAGCTTCTCTGGTATCTGTATAAAAATTTAAGCAAAAAAAAACAACAACAACAGTTTGCAAACACACCAATTGCTGTATGTAGGATATTTATGTAACAACTGACATGTTTTATTTGTTTGTTGACAGGCAATGGATCCATTCACTATCATTTTCACTATCATCAGTCCAAGACTCCCACTTCTGGTAATGGCTATGAAAACTCTTTGAGACTCGCAAGTGACTGTACACCTCGATAGAAGTTCAGTGAATGTGTTTTTTTTTATTTTTTTTATGAGCGTGATTGAAGTTAAAAATTAAAACCAGAAATTATAATCAGATTGTGCTTTTACAGTTTACATCGGAGGTCAGCTTCGCACATCAGGTGCTTGTCAGATGACAGTTTGGCATTTTAGTTTGGAAAAATCTCGGAACGTAATGAAGTTGTCAGATGTGTCCGTTACTCTTAGATCCAGGTGAACTAATAATTATTGTGTCTTATCGAATGCTAGTTTAATGAAGCTACAGGTTTCTGATCGAATGATAGTTTAAATGATGCTATATGTTTTTAATTTTCTAGCATGTCCAAGCAGTTGCTCCAATTCGGCGATGTGCCTTCCTTCCTGTCCCTCTCGCTGTTGTAAGCGAGCTGACTTGGACGAATACTTTGACGATGTCGAAGAGGACGCAATAAAAAAGCGCCAACGGGTAGAACACAGAGATTACTAACGATGATGTACGTTACGACATCGAAACAAAGCACAAGGGTATATAACAATCTTTACAGTGAGGACAAATAATCTCACCTGGATGGACAGAGAATTATACTGCCCGTTTTATCTTGAAAGATCAAGAAACTCTTTTTATCATATAGTTATTGGTCATATGTTGTTCGAGCATCTTGAAATTTGAATATTATACATAGCTGGAGGTGATAGACATAACCATTCGTAAAATATATTTTGTGTGTAGTCATATAATGGCACCAATGACATCTTTATGGATTTTCAGAAGGGACCTTGATTTTCAGGTAGTAAGGACGGTTACTTTTCATTAGCTCATAAACCAAGTAAAGTCGGACAGGGGTGAATACCTGAATGCAAGTCCAGTCTGGACGAAAAAATATACCTCCGCGAATCGAATTTGCGAATGGATAAAGCTCAGAATATGGCTTAACGGTTGACAGAAACTATGGGGTCTGGACTGAGCTAGTAACAATAAGTCATACTGCGGAAACCGGCCATCGACTTCCTGCCGCAACTATCACTGCCTACTTATTTTTTACTAGAGGTGCGGTAATTACTCTACCCCACACCTGTGACACAATTCGTGTCACAAGTGTACAAATGTACCATAAAGGTCACCAAGTGAGCATCTTAACTGAAAGATTTTTATGACCTAACTTTTTGCTAAAAGAAGTGAAATAAGGTAAAGTCTCCATGCGAGTCAAGCACAAACCATGAGGCCACCGCGCCTCCCTTTGCAAAGAGGCTACGGAACATTTAGGAAACAAGTGAGCCAGGAGCTCGCTATTTCGCATCTGATTCTGAATTATGGCTAAAACGGCATATTTGGGATGCTTTACTATGCCATTCTTTACCATACTTTACAGGACAAACATGATTTACAAATCGTCCTTCGGTGTTTTGTAACTGTAAATCTGCTGACCTCCATTAACAGTTCCATTGCTGCATTATTAAGCTAACTTTCAAAACATTTCTGGCATTCTTCCAAAACTAACAGACCTATGCTCACGAATAAATTTAAGTACAAGTACATTTCACCAATGACCAAAGATTTCTTTATTGGCTTATTAAAATTATGCGTAAATTTACACCTAAAAGTTTTTTATCGGCTCTACTCTCGTAGATTAGATAAGGGGGAAGACTGAAGGAGAGAGCCTGCTTAGAGACTAAGCTGATCGGGAAATAAATTTTATTTTGAAGTTACCTACTTGAAGCTCCAAAGTATTAATTTATTTCAAGAGACATTCGTTAGCGTATTTTCCGAAACAATCTCACATGGCACTAGTTTTCTAACATGTTTATGTTCTATGTATATGTTGTACCCTTCCTTCAATTTGGTTCTTTCCTTCACACTAGAATGTGGTGATGTGTAAGAAACATACGCAAATGAAAAAAATGTTGCTCTTCCCTCCTGCACTCTTCTTTGGGAAGGAAGCGCAGAACTAACAACTTAGGATTGCCACACAATTCCACATGCCACGGAAGAAGTTGCTCGCTTTATTTCGTCTTAAAATTTCCCATGATCTATTCTTCTTATGGCTTTATTCTTTTCATTCAGAGCGATGCGCTGAAATTATAGAGCGAACAAACGCAATTACTGCTACTGCGTGAGAAATTAAGCATTTTAGGGTGAACAAGGAAGATATGATTCATCAGTTTCATCATGATTGAGCCGTCATTTTCTTCTTCTACATTAAGTCTTGTTTGCAGAAGCTTAATGAAGCAGTCAAAGAGCACTCGTGAGGATCCTTGCAAAAGCGGGTTCACCCTGAAAAAAAATTTTCAGGTTAAATCACCAGATAAGCATCATGTAAGCATCATGCAAACTTTGATGCCAGCTCGAAATTCTGATAGAATGAATGAATACCCGTTATCCCGAGTATACGTTCACTTGTATTCTTTCCTTAGTATTTTGACCCCTTTTTTATTGTTCAGAAACTTGGATCACTAACAGTTGCTACCCCCAACGACTTGAGAAGTATATTCGACATAGGGAACTTTAGGAGACCACGACGGCGACGGCGACGGCAACGAGAACGAGAACGTCACCAAACAAAAGGTTTAATGAGTGGAACAATGGTTCCGTAAGTGCGTTTTGAATCTTGGTACATATATTTGCCGTCCTCTGCAAAATAAAATGACTAAAGTCTAGGTATTTTGGATGACGCGAACCGCAATGGCTAATTTTTCGTATCTTCTGTTTTAGACCGATAGGCGTACTGAACAGATACACACAGTTGTGACATTCAAAGGTGAAATATAATCATATTTTGTACAAGGCGTCGTCCTCGGCGTCGACGTCGCCGTCGTCGTCGTCGTTGCTAAAACTCCCCAAAAAGAGGCAAGACCGACGAACCTACATTACTAATTTGGAAAGAGCTAGTGTCACAAGTATTGAGTCCGTCACTATCAAGAACTTTCCTCTTTGGGCTGGTCGCTTCTACCTGACACACACCCTGGAACAACACGGAATTAACACCGAAAACTGGGAGCAACAGGCCAGCCACAGAACCAAGCTGGAAATACCCCGTCCACACTGATACAGTGCACAGTAGAGGGAACACATTGTGAGACTCTTGTCAGCGAGAAAAGAGAGACGAGAGGCTACCAATACAGTTCCAACCTCCACATTTCAGATGCCCCGTCTGCCTAGGGAATTGCCAATGGACTAAGCATTACCAAGTGGACATCTTACTCTATATCGAGCGATCACCAACTCGAAGACGACGGGAAATTCAATGTTATCAGTCTTTTAAATTAAATATTTTGAGTTTACTATACTGACATATTTTCTCACTTTTTAAACTTTACAGTCTCCCCCAGGAAGTTGCTTCTGGTGCTTTTTGACCGTCGTAATGATAGTGATAGTGAACTGTTGGAGGTTCGTCTGTTGAAAGAAAATGTATAGCAAAAATACACTAGTTCAAGTTATAGACGACCAGATACAGGTTGAAATCCAACAGGCTTCCAAATAAAGTGGAGGGACAGATTTTCTTGAGCCCTAGACCACTACAGTCGTTAGTCTGATCGTCCAGAAGCCTAAGGTTCATTTTCTCAGAGCTGGGAAAAAAATTTACATCCCCTGAGTCAATGGATCGGAAAGGGCATTTTAAATGGACTGTCCAAATGAACTGTCCATTAAATTGTGTGGCTGTAGTGTAAAAAAAATTGTCTCAGAACAAAAACGAGAGCAATTGATTGAAAAAAAAGGTTGGTTGGCTGGTTAACGTTGATGTAAACGAATAAATGTAATATGCTACATAAGAATGGTCATTGACGAACCTTCCAGAGATGTCGTTATTACTTCTGCTGGAGTGTATGGAGCTACAGGTGAGAAAGCTTGTGAAGGACCTGATATTGGTGGTGCTGCAGCCAGCTGAGAGGAGGGCACGTACAGTGTAGATGAAGAAGATTGAGACGGTTCTGGGGGATACGGATAGGTGGTGGGAGGTGCGGCAGGTGCAGCGGGTGGAGCTGGGGCTAAGGAAGGTGGAGAAGGTGGAACTGGGGCTAAAGAAGGTGGGGAAGGTGGAGCTGGGGCTGAAAATGGTGGAGACGGTGAGGCGGAAGCACCAGGCACTGCTGCGGCGGGGCCTATCGAAGCAAAGAGAAACAAAAGAAACAAAAAAATTATCAAATGCATGAATTAAGCTACCCACTCGCACAATTAAGACTTACCTCCCTGGGATGTCGTTAAACCTGGAGCTGGAGGTTTTGAAACTACAGGAGGAGAGGCGGGACTTACTGGCAACGGAGCAGGAAGTGATGGTGCTGCAGATGGCGGAGGATAGCCTACAGAGGATGAAACACCTGGATGATGGACATGGTGATGGTGTTGATAATGATGCAGTGGTGACTCGGACGGTGTTGCTGAAGCAAGATGAAAGCAGTCAAGCATAGGAAAAAAATAATTGCATAGCAATAACTAAGCAGAACTTATCATCAGTACGTCACAAATTACAAGCGTCACCATGTCCAGTAAATACCTACATTTCTAGCTCGCCTTAAAACTCAATATACAATTATTGTCATTCACGCTGTTTTATCATGTATCTGACACCTGTCACTCTATCATGGCTATACAAATAAAAATTAAAAACTCATTTCGTAAAATTAACCTACGGTAGATTTTTTCCTTCTGTACCTTGCCCGGCCGTCACAAACACGTCCCAATATTCTGGACAGCCAGCAACTACTGCCGCTGAAATGCTCGGCTGTTCATTCAGAAGAATTTTCCGTTTACCGTCTGCATCTTTGGCATAGAATACCACGTGACTGTGAAGCTCAGGTCTGTCTATCATCAGTTTTAGTTTAAAACCAGATCCAGTGGCAAGATATCCCTCGTGTTTGAGAGAAGAGTAGAGTTTAAATGGAGATCCAATGCTGTTAATGAAGTTTAACGCAACGCACATCTCTGTAAAAATAGGCGTAACTGGAGTCAAATTTTATATACAATATCGAAGCATGTTGGTATTTGTCTCAGTTAGTCGTAGATTAAGGAAACTATTCAGCGCTTTAAAATAGCTCTTTACGTCTATGAACCTAAAAAATTACCCTGAGCGCTATCAAAAGTGTAAGGATGGTCACTTGTGCGATTTGTAAATATGCTGAAGGCAAAGAGGAAAGAAAATCTATTTCGGCATAAAAGTTGCTTGAAAAAAACACATACGCCTCAGGGAAAAATTATGTATCAAAATAGACTAAAGATTCTTTACGAGCGAGTTATTTGATAACGTACAATTCCCCCTCAAGGAAAGAAAGGAAACGAGCATAAGAAGAGACCCTCGATTAGATCTGTATGCGAAAGTACTGACAGCCCAAGTTTTAAAGGATAAAGTAACATAGTTTTTGTTTTAAATGATAAAGGGCACATACTTGGTCCGGCGACCGAAGGTTCTGGAGCTCCAATGCTGGGTGGCTGCTCCTGTGCCCCGGCTTCTGTTCCCGCCGGACATACAGGTATACAGGAAGGAAATGCGGGTGGAGGTGGAGGTGTAGGCGGCGGCATTAAGTGAGGTGGATGAGGAAGTGGCTGTCCACTTATCATGGGATGCTTGATTGGTCCTAACACGTATTTGCACATTTTGTATTTATTTTCGTTTTGAGCTATTGGATGAAATAAGAACGTGCAACGACCAAGTACATCAGGATCCCCATCGTAAAAGTCCAGCACGATATCAGTGACGCCATGAAGGGTCTTCTTTTCGCTCTGGCAAATATACCAATCACTGTGCATGGATTGTAGCAGAAGATTACGTGTATACATCATCACAGAATACACGGTAAAAGAGGTCTCTTTATCTGTAAAAAAAAATAAAGTTGTAATGATTAGCGGCGGGAGAAATAGCTTGAAGAAAGTCTGGTTAAATCTTTACGAAATTGGATGAAGTCAAAGCAGGAATGAAAGAGACTAATGCAAAATTGCATGCAAATAGAGTAAGAACTCTTTTTCTTAAATTTGCATGAAATACTGTTTTTCTCTATTTACTTCGAAATTATTTGTACTCCTGTCTTCCTTTTTATAAAACACTTAAAATCATCAAAAAAGTCTTTACGATCAACATCTTGTCGCGCTTCACGTTTGTCATTCGGTCTACTTTCATTTTATTTTACCACAGAATTTTATCGCTGAATAAATCAAAGACACACTGATTACGTTTCCTAGTCAATTGACTTACAAATGGTAGTTCTTTATTACTCTCCTAATTTACGTCAAAGGAAAGAAAAGTCATCCTCCACAGTAAAGCGTTAAACTTGTATTTTGTCTAGATTTCAATATCTTATAGGTAAAATATAACGCCTTTTGCCAAAAGGTATAATCACACAAAGTGTTGGAAATTTTCCAAACTAGCTGCGCATTTTGATACAATATCTAATAATAACCTGATATGGACTGCCATGAGATTAAGTCGTATACGGGGAATTAACAATCTTACCCTCCTTAGTTTATTACTTTTTCGTAAAGGAAGAACGAGTGCACTTGATGTCAATAGTAAAGTCAAATGGCTATACAGGCATTCTCACCGAAACGTTCTGATCCATCCCTCTTTTCAAGAAAGAAGTGGTAATTTCTCTGCTTTATATAATATCCAGGGAAGCACATTGATTCGAACGACACTGTGGTGTTCCTGTCTTTGGCCCGCGCGTACAGTCCAGGAATATGAGCTTGAAAGACCTGGCAAAACGTCTGTAAGCCTATTTCGCCATTGTGCGATCGCCAACAGTAGTTGAGAGTGCCGTTTTCCTGTTCGTAGGGAGCGTTGTACGAATGCACAGTGTATAAACCTTTGTCTACAACTAAGAGCAAAATACAGCCCAGGATAATTATGTGTCAATGTGTAGACTACGAGTAGCCCCTCTTTGAGCGTATGACTAAGCGAAACAGGGACTACTCGTAGTCTAGTCAATGTGGGAAATATTGTACACACCGAGTTTCCGCCTTGTGTCAGGAACACTGAGTGTCTCGGGGAAACAAGCCTGAATGTTTGCCTTAAGCCAGATGTTTGTTTGATTCCTGTTGGTTCTAGTTCACTCTTCCTCCGCGTGATGGACTAACATCAATGAGTGATTCATTTTACGGTAGACAAAATTTACAATGAGAAGAGCAATCGGACGAACAGTGCCAGTGTTGCAGACTATATTTTGATTAGTTATAAGACTAATAACATGCATGAAAAAATTACTCGATTCTGACTGGCTGAGAGCAGTGCAGTTCAAGTGTAACACCAGTGCAAATTACACATCGTAATTCTGAATTATGATTGGCTGAAAGAAATAGGAAATTTTTGAAGCCAATGATATAACGTAAAATGATGAGGAAAATTTTGTGCGAAAGAGAAAAAATGGCTTCAAGAAAGGTCTTCCGGCACTTCCTCCACGCAAATTTTTTCATGTTTATATTGTTAACAAGTAATAATACGGTTTTTCTCGTTCAATTTGGAATTAATTTGCACTTGTGAGCTTTTCAAAAAGCTGAAATTTCACTCGCCGAAGCAGCTCGTGCAATTTCAGCTTTTTGAAAAACTCACTCGTGCAAATTAATTCCAAATTGAAGTCGAAACCGTATGATTACCTATACTAATATTTAATACTATGTTGATAAACTGTGAACTTATTTTTAGATTGTATCATTCAATAATGGATACAAATGTGTTCATTATCTCGATTATGAAGTGTCAGGTGGCAGGTGAGCTGTATTAAGATGAAATTTATCAGGTTTCAAAATGCGAAAATCTGTTATGCAGAAATTAAACGAAAAAAAGAAAAAACAGTTGCCATGCCGGTAAATTGCGTCTGTATAGGATAACGGTTAAGTCACGATTGGTAACAAGGTTTCTTTTTTCAACCATGATTGTATCAGATTAATGGGTAGTTTACTAGTTAACGGTTTGTTATTAAATCTATCCTGATTTTCCATCGTTTGCTTTCTGAAAGATTTTTTAATCGGTTTAATCGTTCGCGAGTTGCTGACTTACGTTTACTTGCACCTCCGACTCTCCAGACTAACGCCCGAGCAACGGTTTGTGGATCTTCTCCTGGTTTTAGAATGTACGTGACTTGACGACTAACTGTATAACCTCCTCCGCTTGAACCAACGCCGCCGCCAGCAGTCCCTCCAGCGCCTACTGCCGCACCCGCAGCTCCAGATGATGACCCACCGGCTGCAGTACCTCCTCCTACACCACCAGATACACTACCACCTGCACCTGCGGCTCCTCCTGTACTTACGCCTGTCGTTACACCACCTCCTGCGCCACCTCCACCTTCTCCGCCTCCACCAGTACCTCCTGCACCAGCCCCACCTCCACCTCCTCCTCCCATTCCACCTCCACCAACTCCGCCTCCACCTCCACCACCCCCACCTCCACCTCCTCCTCCCACTCCACCTCCACCAACTCCGCCTCCACCTCCACCAGCTCCGCCTCCACCTCCTCCACCGCCTCCTCCTCCACCAGCACCTCCAGCTGTACCAGCTGTACCGGCTGTACCGGCTGTACCGGCTGCAGCTCCAGCTCCTCCACCACCACCTCCCCCACCACCACCTCCTACCCCTCCAGCTCCTGCAGTACCCGCACCAGCTCCTCCAGCTGCTGCAGCACCAGCTCCTTCCATTCCCGGACCAGTTACCGCAGCCACGCTTCCATTTTTGATGACGATGTTAAATTTATGCAAGTTATCACCATGAAGTGTGTTTAGTGCATCTTCCAGAGTTTTTTTCATTGTGGTTATGGCGGCTTTCACGCCTGCATTAGCCCCTGCCGAGGCTCCAGCTTCCATTCCTGCCAATGCACCAGCCTTTGCTCCTGCTTTTGCCCCACTTTTCCTCGCCCACGTTGCCCCTAGTGATGAACCAGCTGCTGCTCCAGCTTTCGCTGCGGCTTGAACCAAGACGGCTAGGACAGTGCTATTTTGTACTACAAAATAAACAGCCTCCTCGTGAGTGAGGGAGTGAGTGAGTGAGTGAGGGAGTGAGCGCGCGCGCGCGAACGAACGAACGAACGAACGAACGAACGCACAAACGGTCAATGATATACATGTAATTAATGAATATATGAATGAGGGAATGAAAGAATACACCCAACGAATGGGTAAGAGGTCAAACGTTCACCTTTTTGACGTTTTGAAACTTACAAACTACTTACTCGAAACTATTTTCTTGCATATTCCATATATATTTTTATAAGAATCCACAAGGTGGTCATATTCAGAAAGGTTTTTACATGTTATTTTTAGATCTGTTAAATGCATTTGAAGTTCCTTCTAGGTCAGTTGTCACCCAGTCTCACAGTAATCAGAGGTTACTTTGGCTTCTCCTAGCGTTACTACTTTTTACCAATTAAGCTTCAGCTATATTACAAAACTGGTCCTTTGGGAAACAGTTATTCGGGGCAAAATAAACTAACTGTTTCCCTGGAGACCAGTGATTAATTGTATGTATATAGTGAATGCTAAACCAATGAAAACTCCTGAATTGCATTATCCAATGATCCAGTTTTCAATAAACTTATCTTTACCACGCGGTAGAAAATACAGCCAATCAGAATACAGGAAAGCCGTTGAAAACTCGACGGTATAACACCCAACCTTCCCATCATGCGCCGCGCCTATGTCGCACTGATTGTGTTGACCACTGTATTTTCAATGGCATGGTATAAAATAGTATACTATACGGAATTGGCCATCGCTCACCAAATAATATATACCCATAACTTCTGGTATCATGGAATAGGCCCTTTGCACGATCCGGTCACATGATACAGAATAAATTATGCTGGGATGCAAGTTACACAGTGGGACTTCTAAAACAAAGGAGAGTCGGGCTGGACTGGTACGAGTTCCTTTGTTTTAGAAGTCCCACTGTACAACTTGCGTCCCAGCATAATTTATTCCATACAATGTGACCGGATCGTGCAAAGGGCCTATTAAGAAACAATCATTAAGGTTGGTATGATGCAGGGTTGTAAGCTATAAAGATACCTACTACTTGTCACACGCAGGGTTGTCCAGAGGAACTTTGAGGGTATGACTTTGTAAAATTGGCCATCGGGTGTTTGTACACCAACTTCCAAGTGATCCAATTGATGATCGTCTTTCATTATAGCCTCCATGTAGTAATATTTGCCTTTAACCAGACGAACCGCCAGAGACTTTTGATTCGGATACCTAACGGCAAAGAAAGGTCATTTGTGATATGAATCAATGAATCATGCATCAATGGATAAATCAATCAGTCAGGCAGTCAGGCAGTCAAGGTAGAAAAAGTGAAGCCTTGGAGCCGAATGGCTCATAGCTGCCGGAGTTTATCCCGGTGTCTGTAGCGTGAAGCAGCTAGGAGTATTTCCACTCCCCCTGGACGGAATGCTAGTCCATCGCAGGTCACTCCCGCGCAATTTGGTAGGTTTCCCAACAATTCGCCGGTACCCATTTATACTCCTGGGTGGAGAGAGACACTGTGAGAGTTAAGTGTCTTGCCCAGGTCAGTCAGTCAGGCGGTCAGGCAGGCAATTAATAAGTCAGTCATGACCTGTCAGTGCAGTGTGATGATTATATGTAGTATATGAAACGTAGCCTATAAGTCTTAAAGTAATGCCTATGAAACTTAGTGGCGAAGAATAAAGACAGACCAAGAAATCTTTTGCGACTTATCGTCTTCTATCGTCTATTATTTTCCTTAATATTATATTTTACCGATCGTATTCATATTGGCCAGTAGGAAACCCTCCATCTACACCAGTAATTATCGTTTTCGTGTTTGGCTTTTCATTTCTGCTAAGGAACAGGTCGCTTCCAGCATTTGATGCTAAAAAGGAATAAAAAGACGTTTTCTGATTAACTCCACCTCTTTTGTTCAAGTTCTTAGAAACAGTACTTTTAAGAAGATAAGAATGCTTTCATTGGTTGCTAAAAAATAAAAAACGACAAGGGTAAAATGCTACAACCACATTTTATTATATTCCAGAAAGAAACGATAACTTTCATTCTGATACCCCCATCCCTTCCTTCGCCCTTTCAAAAATGTTTGACGAACTGAGTGGATGTAATGAACACGGGCTGACAACACTGAGTAGGAAGGGGGTGGACGGAAAGGGAAAATGCAATGGCAAGTATCGTCTTCACGACTGTGTTTCTGGTTGTAGGTTATGATCCCTTACTTGAGCATTTTAAAAATATTTGTTGTCATTGTGTCTAACTGATGTAACTTTCTTTATCACGCGAAGCTTACAAATAAAGAAATAGTGGTTTCCTGTCTCTAATGGAACAAAATACGTCCTCAAACGAGTGCCAAAAAAGTCTCCCCAGTTTGAAGGCTGCTCAAAGGTTGGAACACACGTTGTATAACTTGGCAGATATGGATATCGAGGGTCCATCAGAAGAAACTTGACTCGTTTGTAATCTATTCTGTCCCATCTCTCCAAGTACACGCCGTTGTCCACTAAGAAAATAGAAATGGAATGAAGTTAGTAAGATCTCGTACAAAACTGTATAGGAGAAGACCAACTAGTCTCTCCCGCCAGCTGGGATTTTTTAAGCCTGTCATGTTTAGTCGATATGTTTGTTTTTTTGTTGTTTTTTTTTCAGTTTAATTGGCATGCCTGTGAACTAGGTTGGACAGCTAGGTGTAGCTAAGCGCACTGACCACATAAACAACAACACTGACTATTTTTAGTGCTATTCGATTTGGCATACGTGTTGGGCCTTCACGTAGGTCAGACAACTGGGCTGCTACTTGGCGGTCCAGCATTTTTTGTATTAAATTAGAACTGTATTATTTTTCTGTGCCGCTTGAGAGGCTTAGTCAATGGGCTGCTACTTGGCGGATAAGACTAGGGTTTTCTGGTTTGTTAGGCGTTTATGTTGAGGTGTTAGCAATTTAGTTCAGACATGGGCTGCTCTGTTGCTGCTGCCTCACCTTACTTCTAGTGCTCATTGTACTTCTCTGTTTTTTAATACGCTCAATGTAACTGTCCAGACAAGGACTGCAGTTTCATCGCATTTAACTTGAGTATTTCTTTTGTTTACGTGCATAGATCAGAGTAATCACGTTTCTCATTGTGGCTTTCCTTTTACCGCGAGCTTTGCTTTTCTTGTGGGGCTTCAGCCACAGTAGGTGGCTTGTGGCGGATTTTTGTCGTCCTGTTGTTTATTCAAGAGTTTGTTTTGTTAGATTTATTTGCTGTGTTGTGATTCTCTTGATTTTGTTTACATTAAACCTACCACTACGGTGGCCAAAATCATCCAACACAGTTGTCTGGTTTATTTAGATCTCGCCTATCAGCCATTAGACTAGATTTCAAGCAAAGCTCGCGCTTGAGGCCTTCCTTGAGAGGTGGCCCTGTTTTGTGGTAAAACACGTGCCTTGATATAAACAATATCAAAGCTAAAGTTCGGCTGTTATAACAAATAACCTCAGTTTAATTTTACTCACTGTTGCAAGTGTCATCCTTCACACCAAATACTCGCCGCTGTCTAATCAGTTCATGTGCCTGTGCTAGTATTGAAAAACATAGATCGTTAGTAATGTGAAAAATTGAACGGTTGTAAACATTGGTACATTTTCTTCTCACACTGATTCTTTACTGCTGTCCAAGATCCATTAACAGGAAAACATGTAAAAACGTTTTAAAAATTTGCAGTAGTGGAGAAGTGGCAAAGATTATCATCATATGTTTTGTTTCTTCCTTTTCGTTGGCCGAGACCTGAGCAGAGAACACAAGAAGGACAACGAAGTTTGCTCTTTTTTGTGCTCGACAATATCTGAGACTGAGATATTGGATAGAGGCCAGTTCGAAACATCATGGAAGTAGTTGCTTGTGACATGCAAATGAGTTCAGCAAGGCGGCATTCGCTTCCCAAAAATGCTTGAAAAAATTAAAAGATAAAACTAGACGATGGAGTGCAAAGACATTTATTGAACTCGGTTATGGCAAAAAATATATATATATTGAAATGTTGTAGATTCGCAGGTCATTTGCCTCAGCCGAAGAATTAATCCACTCAATCTCGTCCATAGAGATGAAAAATTGTCGCGGTTGCCTGCATGGCGTTAATTGCTAATTACCAGACAAGGGACGAACTCCGTTCCCCATTAGTCAAGTCTAGAATCTCCAGTCCTTACTTTTTCTTTTTCTAAATTGATAGACATTTTTAAAGAGCAAAATTAAGAAAGGGATTTGAAAGAAATGAACTCAAGATTTACGACCTATTTGAATATCTTTTCCACGAAACTATTACCCCAGACAGACAGCCCACTGGTCCTAATTATGAAAAAAACCTTTTGGTCCTTTGATGTCTATAATAAACAAGATGGGACAATTTGGCCTACTTCAACGCTGTCATATACCTGTTGTCATGGTAACCATGATAAACGATATTAAACTGTTAGTTTTTAACCGTGGAACAAAATGATCCTGCTCCAAAAGGTCTCGCATGGTAGTCTTTAAGCCACCGTGATTTTGATCATAGGTCTTGGGGCTTCTCGGCTCTCAATGCGTCTTCTTACACCGCCGTTTAAACAAGACTGTTAAACTTATACTAATTGTAAACATTGATGATTAATTCACGAGCGTCTACAGAGCGTTTCTCTTAAAATTAATCGCTAGCGATGACTTCTCCATCTCAAGACTTGCGTGAACTTGGAATCGCTAATATCACCATTCCCAGTTACTTGATAGCTCTGACTAAAAATTTCAAATAAGCTTTAACCAAAATCAAAGTTGTATTTCAATTGGAGAGACTTATTACTGTAATATACAATCACCTGACCACCTAAATAATTGGCTTGACGTGAAACCTTGAAGTCAAGAGACCACAAGAAACATGACTTTGCCATAAGCGCAAAGTTATCATTTGGTATAAAGGATTACAGATTACTTAGGGCAGCCTCTATATTGGGGAGCAAACATAATTGAGTGTTGTGTTCAAAGCAGTTGATTACAATAAACATACCTGTCGTTTCTTTCCTGTTAGTAGTAAATTTACCACCTACGCTAAATTGCACTGTAAACAAAGTGTAAAATGTACTGAGCAGCGTGATTAGCCAACACCTCATTGTTGGCGGTAAACGGGCCAAGAAACAGTTTTACTACGCCAAGAGCGCTCTTTAGCGATTCATTTTAGTGATTCAAAGATGCAACTCACTTCAACCAGAAAGGCCACCTGCTGCGAAAAAAGATCGTTGAAGGTTTCTAACGGGTATCTGACTCAAGAACTATTTTTGTGTCAACAAATTGGTGAGTGTTTGTCATCGGAAATCAATTAAGGAAAAGTGCATTATACTCGCAACGTCTCTGAACTCCTAAAGCAGCCATTTTGATTGGTCCCGTGACAGCTGTGGCACTGATTAAAACTCTATGGGTCACGGTGACCAAGCCAGTGGGTCAGTGTTCATACTTTTTATCCATCAGTTATGGCTACACGCAACGCGCCTTATAAGAGGTTAATCCGTACATTTCAACATCAATTACAGTACTAGGGAGTGGTGTTCGCTTTCAAGAAAAAAAAAACAAGAAATTAATTGCTTTCCACGATTTCTACCTGTACAGTTAGAAAATTCAAAAAATAACGAAGGCATCTCTAGCCGTCGTTTCGGATAAAATGGAAATAAATTCTTACCTAATAAAACACCTCTACGACATTTTAATTCTAGGTTTGTTATCTCTTTGTTACCAAACTTCTCCAAGCATAAAAAAATATTAATGGGCTCAGTGTGCTAGCTGCTGGCGCATATGTGACGTACCCAGTTGCTAGCTTGCCAGATGCCAGTCTTGATTACCAACCGCTGTTCGAGAATGGAACCCATTCATCTCCCCGAACTCACTGGGGCAGGAACGTAGACGGGACCCGAGTGAGCGGCGAACCTGATGCAGTGGATTGATCATGACGGTTGACCATTATACTTTGCCCTTTTAAGTGCTCTTTGGTGGTTCAACAAGACAACATCCCTTGCATAATGTTTACCATTTTATTTATCATCTTCCTGTTCACTTAAGAATGAAGGGATAAAAGAGGAGTATAAAAGAGGAGTTGATCACTCTGAACGATATTCCTAAATGTTGCAGTGAATTTTCCGTTTTCAACTATTCTTTCTGGTCCTCAATCTAGCGTGAAGTAGACCGACTAGGATATATAAGGTCTACCAATAACGAAGGTTGCATCCTTCCCCTGACACCTGATAAGTTTACGTTGTAGGTGATCAGGCTGAAAGCAAAACAGTTTATAGAAAAGCACGATAAAAAATTCCGAAAAACTGTCTTAACAGCGAATAACGGCGAATGTTATGACAAAAACAATAGATTCACCTGATTTTGAGTTGAAATCAACAGGTCTGAAATAATCCTCATGAACTCTTCCACGAAATGTGAGGTTAATTCCACGCCTACCCACCCAAAGAAATGTAGTGTAACCCTACGGGTTGAGGATGTAGCCTTACTTCACCCAATCATCGTTACTCACCTTAGTCACAAAAGGACAACATCAATAACCTATTCCCGCAACAATCATGGACTCCAGAACCATCCGCTTCGCAAAGGCCCGACACGCGAAATAACTCTGGCGTACACTTAAAGTGACTAACTGTAAGCACTGACACCCAAGTACTTTCCTTTCATTCAGCCGAAAGGATTGCATGATGGTCAAAAAGAAGTCCGTTGTGTACGCTGTCCACAAGTTCTTTTTAAATGTTTTTTTTTTTAACAACGATTAAACAATACAGTGCGCAATTCGCTGTGTCAAAAATATTTCAAGAGTTACGTGACCTGCTGTGAAAAGATTCGTCGCTTGTTGCTCACGGCAGGTGGCCTTCCTGTTCAATTAATGGAAAAGATCACAAAAAGTGCTGGAGTTTCTCATAAAGCTATTGTTTCTTACTCTGCCTCTTACAATGAAGTATTTAGCTATTGTTCTCTACTGGAAATTATACGCTTTGGGTATGGTGTCATTTGCAACGAGTGGTAAGAAAAACACCAAAGAGAAATATTTAGGAGGTAGGTGCATGTTTTCCCACAGTGTGATTTGTCGAGACGTTCTTTGTTTAGTAGAGGTATGAACGCTTGCCAACACAAGTATTCGTTATATTTTGGACGCCAATTTTTGGATATAATGATTTCTTACTTTAAGACCCAAATCATTTATTGTAGGTCAACTTGGCAAGACTTGTCTTTCACAGGTGCCATTCACCTCCCACTTAAGTTTTTGAAAAGAAACTGAAAAAAAGAAAAACATGAACGCTTGACCCCGTCTCCTTGAGTTTTACCAGAGACAAGTCTGGCATATCCTTTACCTCCCGAATGCGCTGGTTCTCTGTGATATTCTTACTGCTCGCTTGTCGGTAAAGTCACAGGACAGCTGTCATTAAAGAGGAGTAACACGACATTCACAAGCTTCTTGCTGGTAATAAATCGGAAAAAAACGTTGGCTTACAATAGTTCTTACATTCCCCTATTCTATTTTGATTAGCTCGATGATGCTTTCTTTTACTTAGATAACATGTAATAAATACAATTTGAATATTGAAACCCATGTGTGAAGTCAATATTTAAGTAACTTAAACAGGTTGTTGGAGTGTACATGATCTCTTCTTTTTTTATTTATTTTACAAGGGGAACGAAGATTGATAAGGCCGCGGCGAACATTTGGCAGTAAGGAAGCACCTTGCAATAGTGAGTATAGTTTTAATGTTAATCACCTCTGAGCTTTTAAATTGGACCTCAGTCCCGACAACGTGTGGCACTAACAACATGCACATGTCATCTTCCGATTTCTGACCCGGAAAGAGCTTAGTATAGTAGTGGTACTGAAAGAAAGTCAGTTCTTGAGAATGGGAACTTATCAGCACGCGTATCTATATAATCGTTTGAATTCTGAATTGTTGCGTGACGAATGGACTACATAACTAGTCCAGAATGGGAATGCTAACCAGTTATACTAAAAAAGTCTTGCTTCTTCAGTACACTGTACAGTCAATTTTCTCTAAGACTGACACCATCGGCCCCAACTGTCCTTCTTAGCGTGGTGTCCAGCTTATAGAGTTTAGTTATTATCATAGTTACCATAGAATGACTGAAAAACGATAGCGGACGGCACCAATCCCGGACAACTACTGACTGGGCAGTTCGCCAGGTACTTTTCGCACTATAAAACAGACTGATTCTTTCTGTGGTTAGCAGTGTATTAAACATGAACATACCTTTTTTCCCCTCGCCCTAAAACTACTACTGTCTATCATAAACTCCCGCGAAAGGAAATTAAAAAAATCACATTGCTGGTGCCGAGAAAGTTGACCTTTTCATGGCACTTAAAAATCCTGCACAATTGCTAACTTCTTCCTCACTGCGTTCTATTCAGTAGTCCGTATAAAACATACTAAATTCCATCATGTTGAGTCATTCTAGACTATTTCATATTTTTCTGCATATTTCAGTGGTCCATGGCGTGTACCTGGAGAAGTGGGACAGAATAGATTACAAACGAGTCAAGTTTCTTCTGATGGACCCTCGATATCCAAATCTGCCAAGTTATACAACGTGTGTTCCAACATTTGAGCAGCCTTCAAAATGGGGAGATTTCTTTGGTACTCGTTTGAGGACGTATTTTGTTCCATTCCAGACAGGAAACCACCATTTCTTCCTTTGTAAGCATCTTTTCCACCTATTAAATTTTGAATAAAGAAATAAATACTGAGGGCCTGACTGTGTTACAAGAAAATACAGTAACTATGCTAAGCTATGGTTTTTCCTTGATTGTTTCACGAAATCTGAATTTGCAGTAAATGTGAGATTTTTATCACCGAAAATTCCGTTTAAGCATCCCCTAGATTTTAAAGAAGAACTGTTAATAAAAGTGGGCTGTGGGTAGAAAAGTCCCAAACGCGGGTCTCCCAGGAAGTTAAGGTCAGAGGGTGGTACGGTCAATCTAAATTTTCATATTGTGTGTGTGTGTGTGTATGTGTGTGTGTGTGTTTCTCTTCCTCCGGTAGTGGGGGGTGCGGTGGACGCATCTCCCGCAGCTCTTGGATACGGCTATCATCAATGTTCCTCCGCTGCCTTGATCTTGTGTCAATTTACGCAGGTCAGGCAGACTCAATTCATATTTTTCTCGTGCGCGAGTCAGTTGTCCTTTATTTCTTGAATTGCTTCTGGCTAACAGTCTTGAGCATAGATTGACCATGACAGCTCAAACACCATTCCTTTCTTAGCATCAGACGCGGGAAGCGAATTGTTTATCAGCACAAATGAGAAACCAGACACAAAGACGATGATCAGTGAAGTAGATGGAGGATTTGCCACTTACCCGTATGAGTATGATAGGTAAGAACAGAGGAGCTTGGATGACTGCTTCCTTTAATGACTGACTGACGGATAGACTGATTGACCGATCGACTGACTGACTGACTGTCTGACCGACTGACGGACTGATTAACTGATTGATCCATTGACTGATTGGTTAACTGATTTTCTGTCTGTCTTTCTGTCTGTCTATCTGTCTGACTGACTGCCTGACTGACTGACTGACTGACTGACTGACTGATGGACTGATTGACTGATTGACCGATTGACCGACTGGCCCATTGACCGATTGATTGACTGAGAGATTAATCGACTGCCTGACGCTCTGTCTGTCTGACAGACTGACTGACTGACTGATTGTTTTTTTTGATTGACTGACTGACTGACTGACTGATTGATTGATTGATTGATTGATTGATTAAATGCCTTGTCACGATCGACCTATCTTCATCCGCAGGTTCACAAACCAAAAATCTCTCCCTATTTATTTAAAGAAAGGTAAGTATTACTACATGGAGGCTATCATGAAAGACGATCATCAGAATGATCACCTGGAAGCTGCAGTACAGACACCAGACGGGACATTTTACAAAGTGATACCCTCCAAGTTCCTATGGACGACATTACGGACTCCGCCTGGTATGTTTAGTAATTAAGAATGCCAAAATGCAAAGCCATAAAAAAACGTTATCGAAAACAGTACAGATTTAAGGTGATTCCTCAGAAATAAAAGTTGCCAAAAATTTTTTTTGAGACTTTTCCTAGATATTCCATACCAAGCACTATTTCGAAAAGTACAATAAAAAGGATGGGTCACCATGCTCGCTTAAGAGATACGATGGGCCAATCTTACCTCATTTATGCCTGACCAGGCAGGTTATTTCATCAGTTCACGTAACATTTTGCGGTAGCTGTCAGCAAAGGTTATTAAAGCAATACTTGAAAAACATCTCGCTGGGTAGAAAGTCTCGGGTACTTGGAATAATGTAATATGTGAGTACAACTCACGTCTTAAAGTGGTATACCCGACAATTCTAAACTACATTGACACGATCAAAACATTCTTCGAATCGTTGTTTTCGAGGTCATGACTCACATTCTCGAGTAACTGTTTTGTGCACCCTTTTAGCTATATCTTTTTTCCTTCCGAACAATTTCTTTCTTAATTCTTTGACTTAAAGCAGATAGTTTGTACTCCAAAATTAGGCCATAATGAATACAGGTCACCATGCTCGTTTAGGAGAAAACGAGTATCTATTTCGCTGTCGCACTTAACTTGAGGGACATCTCTTGCGTTGTGTACGCCATTCGCTCATGTGCGCAAGCTAATGACGCGAAAATCGTGCGCAGCAGGGATGCGCAATGTAACACTGAGGAATCACCTCAATCCAGGCCATAGTTCAATTATACATTATCCTTAAAATGATAAGAATGATACCAGATAAAATTCGTGAGATTTCACGTCAATTTTGTTGGGAAGAAAACGGATCCAATTAGTAGTTTCGTCTTTTCCGTCGCCTATACTTGTTTTTTTTTTTTAAACATTAAGTAAATTCGAAGGTTTTGTTGATTCACGTAGTGAACTGTAATTAGTTTATACACAAAACTTTAACTGCGGTATTCCCTCGTTCATCATTGCATTTTTAATAATTATGACAGTGGGCGTATATGCTTAACAAATAGCCTCAAAACGACAACGAAATATTTTTGAAAATGTCATGGTTGTATTTTCCTTCTTAAATTCCCAGCACAAAATGCCACTTATCAAGCCATTTTACTGAGAGTAGCAGCACGTGCCGGAGCAAAAGCTGGTTCATCATTTGGAGCAAGGTGGGCGATGAGCAGTGGAGCAAAAGCAGGAGCAAAGGCTGGTGCCTTGGCAGGAATGGAGGCTGGAGCATCGGCAGGAACAACGGCCGGCACTAAAGCTGCTATTGAAATGACAACGAAAACCCTTCAGGAGGCTTTAAACGATTTTCATGGAGATAATTTGCACAAATTTAAGATTTTTGTTAAGAACGGAAGTGTGGTCGGCGTAACAGGTCCTGGAATTGATGGATCCGGCGGAGCTGCTGGTGGAGGTGTAGTTGGAGGCGGAGGCGGTGGTGGAGGTGGCGGTGGCGGTGGAGGTGGCGGTGGCGGTGGAGGGGCTGGCACTCCTGGGACAGCCGGTACTGCTGGAACTGCTGGAACCGCAGGAACAGCAGGGACCAGTGGGGTAGGAGCTACAACCGGAGGCGGAGGCGAAGGCGGTGTCATTGGAACTGGTGCTGGAAGTACTGCCGGAGGTGGTGGATCTGTAGCTGGAGGATCGGAAGGTGGGACGGCTGCGGCTGGAGGTGTAGCAGGAGGTGCAGGCGCTGGCGGCAGTGTTGGAGCGGCTGCTGGAGGGGCTGCAGGCGGTGCTTCCGTTTCCGAATCTGGAGTCACAAGCAGTTCTCAAGTTACTTCATCTACCAGCACAGTAAGCGGTGGTGTTGCTGGAGGTGGGAGTACTGGATTTAGTGGCGCAGCCGGAAATGGTATTTCTGAAGCCGCCGCGTATGCGATTAGAGAACTGACTTATATTCCAAAACCAGGCGAAGATCCCCAAGCTATTGCCAGGTCACTGGTCTGGAGGGTGGGTGGTGCGACAAAAAGTAAGTCGACTTAAAGTATCCGGGAAGGAGGTTATATTTACTTCTCGCAAAAACTGAACTTATATCTACAAATTTGCTAACGCATTAGAGTTTATGTTTGCTGACTTAAGACAGTTTGGTGGGGATTCTTCTCACTCTAATTAGCATTTCGTTCTCACATAAAATGCAAAACAATCAAATCGAGTATTTTTAAAACATCAACGGAGTGACAGTATATTTTTTACACAGCAACTCCATGATGACAACTAAGGTATGCAGTCTATATAGCGATTTAATTTTGTTCCCATAGTTTACGTTATGCAAGTGACATATCTTAAATTGGAACTGCGGAGAAAGATGTGAAGAATTCCGCTCAAGACCTGACTGCATTATTTTCTTAGGCTTTATTTTCAAAACTGCTTAGGTTGTGTATATAACTGCGATGGTAATTCACGTTTTTACATCTTACTCTGTAGTTCAAAAATATGATCTTTCATGTATTCACTTGTATTCTTCTCCGTCTACGGTATATTACGAACTCACAACGCGACCAGGTCCCAGTTCGATTGATAGCTCCGTTGGAAGAGCGCTGCACCGGTATCGCACAGGTCATGAGCTCGAATACCGTACATGCCTAAATGTTTTTCTGGGTTTATTTTCATAGCTGCTTCAGCTGTGCACATAACTGCGATGATCATTAATATACTTCATGCTTACATTGACATCATTTACATGTATGAACCATATTTGCACGTATCGTATATGCATTCGTATATACACGCATCCATACTCAATTCTCGGTATACTGGAACTAGCTTGTAATAATATAATGGAGGCTCAGATGGGGGAATATCGCTAAAATGAGATGAATGTGATTTGCATTTGATAAGACTTCCCATATTAGCCCCAGTTGCAAGCTCATTTCAGTCCAATACAGAGAATACGAATGTAGCCTTTTCTTTTTTTCTGGCATTCACGTTTATACACGTAAATCCCTTTTTGAGTTATTTTCCTAGTTTAACAGAAACATTTACTTGACTCTAGTTGTAGCAAATGCAATGTACACGTTTCATGCTTATGACGACCCATACGCACAGGAAAACTTCACGCTTAACCACTGCTGGCGGTCCGTGGACGGTCGGTTCTTCTTGAAGCAGTTCTGTCACGTGTTCATTGCGCGTGTGCCCTCCCTCTACGGAAAACCCGTCGACAGCATCTCTTTTGAGTCTGCGTGTTTGCCTGGTTATTTTCTGAGGCAGAAGAACTACCACTTTTTTCTGCGAAAGAGGGATGGAACGAGGCTTTTTGGTAATATATTATTTTAAAAACCTTTACCTTATTTACATACATAACAGTTCAATAGGCCATTTTCGTATTCTCGGTATTAGCCTGGAACTAGCTTGCAAGGAGGCTCTTGCTGGGGAGTGCCATTAAAAAGAGATAAATTCCATCTGCATTTGAAAAGATTCCTCGCATTAGCCTCATTTGCAAGCTAGTTCCAGTCCAGTACCGAGAATACGAAAATGGTCTATTGTTAAGATCATGATGATACCCTTCCTAACCGGGGAAGGTAATCTATATCGTTTGAACAGTCGCAAGTATTTACAAGACGCGCGTCGTGTTCTCTTGACCCTGGTCAGACCAACCTACCTTTAATCTCGCATGAAAGAGGAGGAAGGAGATTCGAAATGTTAATGTTGCGACTATGAAACTTGGCCGGTAAATGTACCTTAAGGTCACTACAAGAGAGAGGTCAATTTTCATTGCCAAAATATAATTCAAAACTGACGAAACACGCCGGTCAGTATACTGTTGACGTGGCAACCTCAGGTGTCGAAAATTTTCACAGGGGTGTCGACAGCGAATAATCTAATTGTTTTAGTTTAGTTTCAAGAGCAGTCAATCAGCCAATCATGTTGCAGCATATGCATTCGCTTGCAAGAAGAACTCCACTAATGCCAAATAGTTTCCACATAAAAGTACTCATTTACTTACGTTTTCAAAAAGACTATTCGTATTTACAGTCCTTTCGGGTGAAATTCACACCCCCAGGATTATTCTTAGCCAGGAGTCATAATCGTGGACGGAGACCGTAAGCGCGCGCTATTTCTAGTATTGGGGCTGTCCCTATGATATGGGACAATTTTTCTAATTTTAGAACAAATTGCGCCATCCCGTGCGGCACATGCGCGTACATCCTGCAGGGATTATTGCTGATGTCGCGCGGGGGGACTGGCGTCCGAAATTCCCGCAATGTTTGATGCTTTTGGGCCACAACTCAATACGTTCATGTCTGTTGGAATTTTACTTCACTATTTTCGTCGTAAGCTGCTTCAGTTTGAGTGAAGTAAGACAATGTCGAAGTTAGTTATGTGCCGCTTTATGATATCACTGACCAAGTTGTGTTCCGCTGCTTCTTTTACAAGAGCTCCACATTACTCCACTCTAAGTTTCACATATGTTGAAGATTAACAGCTTTTCCAAAACACAGCAAAAAACTAATTGGATATGTTTGGATATAGCAGCGTTTCAGGGCTTCAAAGTTTCCCTCCTCTTGCTACACGCTTGCAAGGATTTCGCCAGAGTCTATCTCGATCGAACAGTAAAAAAATAATTGAAAAAAGTAATTGCAATTTGAGTTTCGCCTGAATTTTAAGCAACGCTTGATGTTTTATCAAGGCCCAATAAGTGACAATAAGGTTTATGTCTGTAGATCCTGCTCAGTTTTGTTTGTGTAAAAATCCAATAAATTGTCTGTTGTCGATGAATAAGAGCGCCCGCCGATGCGTGTTTTGTACAGTCAGTAAAACATGACAAACTGGACTTCCCCACTTTCGTGTGAAAACGTACATCGAACTCATATAATATCTCAGTTTTTTGATATGTTTAAGGTTGAAAAATGTTTGAGAACGTAATGAAAGCTTAGCTAAAAGTATGTGAATACAGCAGAAAAATAATCAGCAAAATTACGATGACGTTTTCTTTAATCAACTCGAATAAAGATTTCGATTTTGTTGGTTGAGTCATGGATAGTCTCTTTACTATCCATGGTTGAGTTATCAAAACTCCTTGTCTATTTTATTTCCGCAGTGTAAAATTTCACTTTGTTAAAGAAACACACAGGATGTTAGAAGCTTTTTGGCGTTGATGAAAATTGTTGCAGCATCTCGGTACAAAAGGTAACGAAAGAAATCTTTGTCAAGATTTGTTGACAATTGAAAACACCGACTCGGACTTGAAAGTGCACGCGCTGCACTATGCAAATGAGCTACTTGTACGCGTCAGACTTTCTTTAAAAAACTTTTGCAAACTCGCCAAACAAACAGAAACAATAAGAAAATATCAAAAACAGAGTTTGTTTATGATTAAGCATTGTCTGGGAAACTCACAAATTAACTCGATAACTAGAGTAAAGAGTTTCTTACATAACTTTTCTTTACAGAACAAACGCAAAAGCTTACGCCTACAACTAGCGCGAGCAGATATTATTCATTCACAGCGCGAAATTGTCATGTCATGTTTTCGACCCTAAAAAAACTCACCTTTTCCATTAGCTCAGAGCATAAAACTACATATAAGAGCCCTGGTTCCTATTCCCTGCCTTATTCCCTGCCATCGCTGTGAAAAATCTGCAAAAGAATCTCGAAACTCTCACCATTTGATCACGCAACGTGACAACATCCACGCGAGAGCCCCCGACAAGTGTGCGGATCCGTGCGGATATACGACGTTAGGATGGCGCAATTTGTTCTAAAAGTAGAAAATTCGTCGCATATCATAGGTGCGCGTGGATCCCAAGACTTACGGTCTCCGTCCACGATTATGGCTCCTGTATTAGCTTAATTCCAGCTTCTTTCCAGCGTCATTCTTGGAACATTCCGGTCTTAATGTATGTATCTGCTTAAAATTCTGGATAAAAGGAAACGTTCAGGACATTTATATCTTACAAAAATTGTTTCCTTTTTGCAGATAAAGACAGCTCATTCCACATTTATTCAGTTATGAGGTACAATCGTAATTTCCTTTTTAACTCCATGCACAAAGACTGGTATATCTGCGAATCCGAGCGAAGGAAATTACATGCAACTGAGTTAGCTCTCGACTTTTACAACGGCGAACCAGATGTTCTTGATCGATGTACATTTTTGGCACATCCCATCCCGCAAAACGACAATAAGCTAAAGAACTGTAAAAACGTCCTTGGACCAGTCCAGCATCCGGAAATCAATGGACAACCTCTACCCCACCCCCCTCATTTGGTCTCCAAAACACCGCCGCCGCCCCCTGCCCTGCCTTCGTGCATACCAGTGTGCCCAGCGACAGGTCCTGCTCCCCCAACTCCTGCTGGGGCATCAGTTGTCTCGGAGACGCCCACGGTCTCAAGTATACGTAAGTTTAGGTTTTTCTCAGTTTACCAAGTATAAAATAACCCGCCATCTGGCAAATAAATGTTACTATGTGACTCGTAAGATATTTTTCCATGTTTCATAACTAAAAAGTAGTCCTGCGATGGTACTTCAATAGTAATGCAAGCTTGCAACGGTCTTCGAGCAACGCGAGCGAAATTCGACCCAGGTCAGCATTCCTGGCTTGGCATTCCGCTCAAATTTGTAGTTGGGAGTGCCCTCGGTCTGCAGTTTGTAATACAAAAACTAGATGTAAAATTTTATAGTGACGTACTCAGAAATTTCTAATTAATAGTGTTATGCTGTTGTACGTTATTTTGTTGCACGACAGGTTACGTGACAGACCAATTCAAAAAATTGTCCTCTTTATCTTTTGTAACCCAGAAGAAACATTTGTCGACAGAATTTAACGAAGTTAAAATGAAATTTTAAGGTTACCAAATTAAAACCTGTTTTGCGTTCTATAGTCAAGGAGCATAAGTCACATGAAGTTACTCTTCATGGCTCTCACTTCTTAATGATTTGTTTACATTTTACGTCATCCACAAGTTTCACCATTCTTGAATTGACTTAAGAGTATTAACCGTCGTGCGTGGTCATGCTGTATTTTCCTTTTGGAATGGTCGCCAACCACTAAGACGAAAAAAAACCTGACATATTAGGGACCTTCCTCCTATTTCAGAGATGTGCGTGGCGATAAACTTTATCAACAACTTTGGGCCTCAATTTAAGCTCTACTCTTCTCTCAAACACGAGGGATATCTTGTCACTGGATCTGGCTTTAAACTCAAACTCATCATTGAACGGCCCGAGCTGCATAGTCATGTGATATTCTACGCCTTGGATCCAAATGAGAAAGGGAAAATCCTTCTGAATGGAGTGGAACGTATTTCAGAGCCTGCCATCTCTGGCTGCCCTGAGTTTGTGGATGTGGTAGTGACATCAGAAAAAGGTCGTATATTTGAATGCTGATAATATCTCAGAATTAGTTCTATTTGATGTCAAAGTGACACATTGTAATTAAAATAAAGGTAGAAAAATTCCACAAAATACATTTTGGTATAAAACGTGACATGAAAGTTCTGAGAAACTTTTCCTCGGTGACCAATTCAAAGTATAGAGAATAGTTTACTTTACTCGTTTAAAATAATTACTCGTGTCTCTGTCAGATTTGCTGATAATTTAGCGAGTTGGAATAATTTAAATTCATAGGACCCTTTCTTAACAGGACCTGCCACGAACACTTCGACAGTTACCGGTCATCACCCACCAGCCTCATCACCACCTGCCGCTCCACTGCCGCCTCCCAAACCACCTTTTCCTCTCCCTTCATATCCTCCCCCACCATCAGCACCCTCCGCTCCTCCTCCTTCTCCTCCTTCTCCAACTTCCCCTCCCCCTTCTCATTCTCCTCCTTCCCTTCCCAGTCCTCCACCACCTCATTCCCCTCCTCCTCCACTTCCTCCCTCTCCACCTCCACCTCCTGCACCTCCTTTGGCCCCTCCAGCCTCACCTCCAGTTATACCTCCTCCCGCCTCATCGCCACCAGTGGCATATCCTGCTCCACCACCTCAGGCCCCGCCTGCAATGCCACCATCAAATCCACCTCCTCCATCGCCTGGTCTAGCTCCTTATCCTTCTCCCTCCGTTCCCGGAACACCTTCCTCGCAAGATGGTAAGAAGATAGTCAGTAGATCAGACAAATCGATCCACAACATTTTCACTTGAATGTGCTCTACAACTGGTATGTGCAAAGAAAGGTTAACCCCGAAAGTTTTGCGTTTTATTTATCATCGAGTCAAACTAGTTTATGCATCCCTTAAAAGACTTGATATTTTTTATATATGCATCGAGGTAGACTGAAAGTCAGTAGCGCACGGGGCGGAACTGGAAAAAAGACTTTTTTCTGTAGACTGGTAATCGAAATAATTAAATTCTTATTTTAGTGGTTACCTGGCCATAGTACCATGTTTAGGATAGCTCAGAGTTTTTGGAAAAGGCAGCACTGCCCGTGGCAGCGATATTTGAAAAGCATGATACTACATCGTTAGTATCTCCCCTTTAATTACTGTAATCACTTACTTCATTACTGTGTTGCAGTTAAAATTTATCACAAATGACATGGTATTATTGTTTTGTTATGTTGATGTTGTTTGCAGATAATACAACAGTTCATTATCATTATCACTATCATCGCCCAAAGCCACCCGCTCCCGCTGTCCATGGTACGTATTCACTTGGAACTGAGGTGTAATCCCTCTCAACAATGACCTCTCAAAACCTTGTTACAAATTATGCATAGAAGAGATGTCTATCGTGAAAAATATTTTTTCAACTTATTTTGGCGAAACATAAAAAGTATATAATATCATGGATTTTCTGCTATTTCCAAGGTTGTAAGTTTCGCAATTTCAGTGTCAAGGCTTTGGGATTCTTTTTTTCAGTCTGGCCTTTTTCGTGTGAAAATTTCAAATCACCATTACATCATTTACACTCTTTCAAATAGGCTTACGAAGATCTTTACCCCTTTCCCCCTGAGCAATGTTTGACATTCAGCACTCTCCAAAGGGAAGTGGGACTCTCAAAACCCGCCAAACAGCTGTTTTTTCTTTCAATTAAGCTAAGGCCGAGGGAAAGGCTGAATGGCGTCTTGGCGTCTCGAAAAATTGGGATGGTGTCAGGGTAGGCGTAAAACAACTTTTTCCGCATTAATTTTCACCACGAGCACTGTATGAAGTGATTTTTCTAGTATGTGTAGACGGATTTCAAGGTAAATATATATTACTTTCACTTCATATGTGGTTGTCTGACTCAATATGCTGAAATTAATAATGTGGTAAATATGTGAGTGTAAGCCCAAAGAGAGTCGAAGCATTGATTTTAAACTTTTACTCACGCTACTGTTGTCGTTGTTGTTGTAGTTTGCCCAAGCCGCTGCACCGAGTCCGAAGTGTGTCTGCCTTCATGTCCGTCACGGTGTTGCAAACGAGGCTTGGACGAATACTATGACGATGGTGATGAGTGGTGGGCGCAATAAAAGAAGACAACTCCTTCATTTTTGTACTGTCCAACGAAATTGTAAGATGCTAAACAAAGAAATGCTCCAATGCCAAAGAGTATGCAGAAATGCTCTACACAAAAAAGGAAAAACAAACTGATTAAGCTGTGCCGTTCACGGATGCACCAACGTTACAAACAAGGAGCAATAATGTGTTTTCAGCAGCTAATAAAAAAAAAGAACGATTGTCATTTTACATCAACGTTTAACGAGTATCTGTGCAATGTATCTATGCAGTGGTAGAACAGATGGAGGTGGAATAGGATGGATAGACAGAAAATATTTTTGTGGCGAAGGCACTACAAATAAAGAGACCGAAGGAATTGAGTTGATCTAGTATATTACACTAGACGAGACTAAGCTTAACGTAATTAAACTAGTTTAGAATAGTCTATACGAGAGTAAGGCACATTAGACTAGGCTAGACTAGACTGCATTAAAATAAACTAGCTTAGATTAGACTAGACCAAACAAGAATGGAATGGAACTAAAAACAAGCACCAGAAAGGTCGGTTTGATGAAATTATTATCAATGGCTCCTTCTTTAAGTTATGGGGATGGGTGATATCCAGATCGATATAGGCTGAATAGATATGGATTAACTATACCTGAAACTCAAACAGTTCCCTTCAATATGTACAAACCATTTGGTAATCTTTGTTTTTAATTAAAACAGTTTTGTGTAATAAACTACATGGCAAAAAATAGTTTTTAAAACTATTCAGTGGAAGATTTTACAACTACCTTAAAATTATGAATCAAGTTCAAGGGCAGTGGTGAGTATTTAGGCGAATAAGTGCAGTGCGTCAGAAACGCTTTATTTTCATATCATTTAATTTACTTGTTTTTTCTATTCATTATCCATTCATTTGTCCCTTGTCCTCAGTGGCATCTTAGATACACTGTACTTAGACATTCATCAGTTAAAGCATAACGGATTTTCACGTTACAAATGATGTCGGGTAGCTGACTAGATAGATATTGTTGAAGAATAAACTAGAATAACGTAACCACAACATAAATAAAACTCAAGCATGCATGTTACGAGAAAAATACCTCTGACTCGACTAGACCTATGCGGCAATAAAACCGCACCCTGTGATCAATAGTCGCGACCGGCACATATAAAAACGAAAGAAAACATTACAAAAGCCCGACGAGAAACCCCTCCCTAAAACGCCTCAGAAAAAAAACAAAAACGCCAACCTTAAGTGTGCTAAAAACACACTTAGTATCTAGACTCATGAGAAGACGAAAAAACTTGAGACGGTGCATTTAATAACGGCCATCGATAAAACCAGGAACATGGAACATCCCGGAACATTCCGGAACATCCCGGAATATCGAATAATTATAATAATTATGAGAAAAATATGTAAAATAAATTTTCAAAAATAAAATAAACAAAAACAAAATTGGTATCAGCTCGAAATATGAAAAGATATTTTTGGGGGTAAGGGAGTCGGTAGGGGAGGGGTAGGGAGCGTTGGGTATTCATTCAACTGACCACAATGAGTGCAGGGTCCTCTTCTTTCCTAAAAATTGCGTCACATGGCTTTACAGCAGCTGTTTTTCAACACAAACATGGGTGATTCGGACGATGAATGCCAGGTAATTCATTGCGTTTCCCTTGTTGGTCCTGATTTCTTCAACATTTGAGGTGTTCGTCTGAGCATCATACAGTTCCTTGTTAAGTCAGCAGCCGTAGTTTTGTCACTATTCCGTCTTCATGTTGCAATTATCATCCCCAGTTTTTGCGCTCCTCGCTAGGAACGCCTGGCACTATAACCCATCGGCCTGACCCACCAAGTTCGTACTAAGCCTTTCCGGAAGCCCAAGTAACAAACAAGTTTATCATTAATAAATCATCAGACCTCGAGTATTCCGAACTAGTTTAGACACGAAACTCAGTGTCGAAGAGTTCCTATTTCTATCTGAAATCGTGTATACAAGTGTGTATAAATTGACGTAATGAATTGAATAAAGAAATCACACTCGTGTACCCATAGTTTTCGGTCTGATTAAAGAGTTCGAACGCCGTCATTTTGGTTATCTATGAAGAAGGAAATCTGGAAATAAGGGACAATCACGTGATTCAACTGATGGCGAAGGACTGGAAGGAATGGTTTAGTCTTCAAATCACTCATTGTAGTCAAATTCAGTTTTTTTCCAATTTTTTTTTTATGTTTCTCCTTTTTTTATATATTCCGAGCTGATACCAGTTTATTTTTGTTTAATTTAAGGGGGTCTTATACGCTCAGATATAAATTTTTTTCCAAAAAAAACATTTTTTCGGAACATGAAGATTCAACATCCCTGTCCATTTATAAATCGTATTTTGAAACGATTTTCCTCTAAGTACTCCTTGATTTACGTTTAAATTAAGAAATATGAACACTTCTAACTATATATATTTCAACATAGCAACACCCATAGCAACCATTGTTTACCGTCTAAAAGTACTCACAAAATGGATTCAATTCGTACCAGGAGCCATAATCGGGGACGGAGACCGTACGTCTTGGGATCCACGCGCACCTATGATATGGGACAATTTTTCTATTTTTAGAACAATTGCGTCATCCTGGCGTTATATATCCGCGCGGACCCACGCACATGTCGGGGGCTCTCGCGTGGATGATGTCACGTTGCCTGATCAAATGATGAGAGTTGCGAGATTCTCTTGCAGATTTTGCACAGCGATGGCAGGGAATAAGGCAGGGAATAAGAACCAGGGTTCTTATATGTAGTTTTACGCTCTGAGCTAATGGAAAAGGTGAGTTTTCAAGGTCGAAAACAAGACTTCCATTTCGCGCTGTGAATGAATATCTGCTCGCGCTAGTTGTACGAGCAAGATTTTGCGTTTGTTCTGTAAACAAAAGTTATGTGAGAAAACTCTTCACCCTGGTATCGAGATAATTTGTGAATTTCCCAAAAAATGCTTATTCATAACCAAACCCTGATAATTTCGTATTGTTTCTGTTTGTTTGGCGAGTTTGCAAAAGTTTTTGAAATGAAAGTCTGACGCGTACATTAAGTAGCTCATTTGCATAGTGCAGCGCGTGCACATTCAAATCCGAGTCGGTGTTTTCAATTGCCAACAAATCTTGACAAAGATTTCTTTCGTTGTCTTTTGTGCTGAGATGCTGCAACAATTTTCACCAGCGCCAAAAGGCTAATAACATCTTGTGTGTTTCTTTAACATGGTGAAATTTTACGCTGCGAAAATAAAATAGACA